TCGTTTTTGTTGTGTATATTTTTAAAATGAGAAATCAATTATCTTTTATTTATTTTTTCTATCATCTTCGTATACTCTTAATATGACATCTGTCATATTTAACAAAATTAATAAATTTTTATGAGAAATTAAATATTCTTCTGTCTTTTGTTTCTACTTTTTTTCTTAACTATTTAAGATGACGACAATTGTACAAATTTAACATTTCAATCAAATTTAAATTAAATTGAATGAAACTTGTCCTTTTTTTTTTGAAATGGCAAATCTAACTTACTCCTAAACTACACCATAAATCCATCTTTGTCCACGACGGAACTTGAACCCTCAACCTCAAAGAGGGAGGGCAACACCGAATCCCGCTGGGCTACATACATTTTTAAAATAGGTAGGAAGATAGTAAACACAGAAAATAAGAGGATATTTAATTTGGGTTAATGTCATTAAAACCTAACAAAGTTTTTCCTTTGGTTTTAAAAGGTCCCTAAACTATTTTTTGTGCATTCTAAGCCATTGAAGTTGAGAAATATATGTTACTTGGATCCTTTTGTAAAACTTGAAGGAGTCATCCGATAATCCAGGATGATGTGGACTTTTACATGAAGAGGTCAACATAAACATGAACATTGCCACGTGTACACTAGCTTCCAAAAAAATGTAAAAAATCAACATCTGGACATTTTAATCACAACTCCTGGATGTTTAACTGGCAAGATCAAAAGATCAATAGTTTCACTCAAAAAGATCTAGCATACAGAGTAAGATGAAGCAGTATGTTAGATATGGGATTTGAACCCCAAATCAAAAAGATTGCCAATCGTCTGTACATGCTTCCGCCTGGTCGACTATAAAGAATGCTTTTCAGCCCAAATTTTCATCTAAGATCCAAAGTTTGTTTGATTAATCGTATTCAGAATTAACACACCATGATCAATTGAACAAAGAAGCAATAACATACGGATTTTTTTTTTTGGCAAAGACTTGCATCTACTTTTCTCTCAAACTACATATTTTTTCCCAAACTAGTAATGACAAGCTACCAAACACATTCATTGAACGAGAATGCAAGCTGAATTTCCCCAATTTTCACCATGTGACATAGAATAGCAATATTGAAAAAAATATATAAAAAACCAAATTGGAGAAAGAATGAAGAAAAAAACGTTGGTTCACCTGCTCCTGTGATACAAAATTCATCAACCTGGTTGGTAGATGAAAATCATCATCTGTCATCTCTCTTTGTTGGACCTCATAAGTTACTTTCGACCACTAAGAAATTGAGTCTGAATCACAATATCAGTAGCTAACTTGAACATGACTTCACAATAACACGTTCGCACGAATGTATGATCGTATACTAATTCCTAACCCTAATGCCTGTAAACATATTAGATTCGGAAACAATCCTCTGTTCAACCCCTCTATTCCAGCGGCATACAAGAGGTAAACCTTCTTACAACTTTTAAATCCAGAATTCATCGACATCCGAGATGATTACAATGCTATAAAAAAACTTTAAAAAGACAGCTCAAGCTTGGCTCACAATGCTATAAAAAAGGCTCGTATGCTCGCTAAAAAAGCTCTTTCAGTTTATTACAACTAAAGGGTCTCTTTAATTTATAATGAGATACCTTTAATCTATTTGTTTCACCAAGCAATATGGGACTAAGATACAAACAGAACCATCTTTACAAGTTTCTTTTCTTTATACACATGTTTCTGCACCTTTTTAACCAAATATTTACGTAAAACAAAAAGTATTCCTTGAAAACGATAAATTAAATGGATTAAGCATGACATCATCACCAACCTATAACCTATTATATACATTGAGCTAATGTTAATTAAACTATGAAACCAAGTCATCAAATAGCTGCTCAACAGTATGTTTCAAAAGCCATAATTGGACTATCTTTTTTTCTCCTATATTAAATCTAACTTGCAGTTGGATAATAATTAAGATATATAAATGTGTAACTATATTTACTTAAAGATAATTATAAATAAATTAATAATATAATTGTTAAAGTCCTATACATAAATAATATGTTTAAAACTAATAATCAAATTACAAAATCAGTTCATGAGTTACACGCACATATTAGAGAATAAAATCGTTGAGATTGTTTTTTTGCATTTATCTAGAAAAAAAGATATAAGAATAAGAAGTAATGGATAAGCGAGGGACTAAACTCATTCACATCGGTTATATACAAGAAAACAAGACGAGCCACCCTTATTAAAAAAACTCTCACGTCTTTAAACATATTATTTATATTATTTATGTTTATTATTCGGGTGTTAAACAAGGTATATAGTGTCTTACCCGTACCCGCCCCGTCCCCGCTTCATGCAGGGGCGGAGCCAAGATTTAAGAATAACGGGGGCTGACACGCTCACATCGTAATAATATATTAAAATATAATGTTATATCCGAATAAAGTAATATAGTTTTAAATTTTGAAAGAAAATTGACAAAAAAATAAAATAAAATTTCGATATAGAAGCTCCATCGACCATCATAGTATCAATTTTCAAAAAATTTCAACAGACCATAAACATCGACTCATATTCATCTTTCTAATTGCTTGAAAAAAAAATCCATGTTTTTTTCTACTAATAATTTACTATATGATTATAATAAACCAAATTATCAAACATAATCAAATTATTATTTATAAGTAACAAGAAATAAAATATACGATAAGAATTAGAAATTACCTTCTTAATTAGAGAATTGAAATTGTGTCGAATCTCGAAACAATATCTCAATTGAAAATTAACCTTGTCGACGAGTAAAAATAACTACACATTATCTTGGTGATTGGTGAATAGTCAACTAACAAAAGTTATTTATGAAGAAATGGATATATAATCAACTGCTAATTAAAATAAGATAAATACGTGGAGGCGGTAGGATTTAATAGTCATATCCTCATTGTTTTTTATATAATAAATAAATGGGTTTTTAATATAATTGGGAAGGGCTAGGATCAGTTAATTGACATGGGCTTAAAGGTTACTAATAGGCTCATTTTATTTGTAATTTTGTTGAAGTTTGATAAGAGATTAGGGGGGCTAAGCACCCGGCATCCCCCCTATTGTCTCCGCCTCTGGCTTCAGGTATGAAATTTAAATCCCGTACCCGCTCCCGTCTAAACGGGTAATACCTGCCCCGTTAGGGTCGGATCCCCGCAGGCACCCAGATCCGCGGGTCAAATTTGCATCCCTATTGGTGACCGGTGAGTGAGGGAGTAGGTAATGTGGATGATTTTTGTAACATGAAGCCACACCACAAAAGTTTTACCGGTGAAACCGGGAATAAAAATGACGCTTCCTTTTATAATAGGTAAATTCACAGTTTAGTGACCTAAGATGCAAAAAAAAAACTTTAGTGACTATTTAAAATCAAAAGTAAAACATTGTTGGGTTTTAATGACATTAACCCATTTAAGTTTTCAATTTTTTTTATACTTGTCATCATTTAAAATAGAAGGAAGAATAAGTAGGAGGATATTTAATTTCTCTTTTAAAATTTATCTATGTATTTGATTTTTAATAGAGCACAAGTGTTGCCATCTCCAAAGTTTTTGTCTCTAGCTGCACATAAAAGGTTGTTGATAATCTATGTGCTCTTTCTTCTTGTGTTTCCTTGTTCTAAATTCTCATCAAATGTGGGCCTGTCCCTTCGGGGACATCCGATAAAAAATCAAATGTGGGCCGTCAAGTGATACGAGACATATAATACATGGATGAGCAAGACTACCGAAATTTCTTATCCGAACTGGTATTTGTTTTGAACTAGCACCATTTATGTTCATATGTGGAGGTACAAAGTACTCTAAAATCCGTATATTGCGACTTCAGCGAATGGTATTGCAGAGAAACACCCTCGATTTCCTTAGCGACAGAGGTGCGGTGGCTCATGACATCATCTATTTTCAGTTGCAAATCTTGATTCAACTTTTTCAGCTCCTCCTGCTGACCAATGGCTTGACTCAAATCCGTCACCAAACTTTGGTTTCTCACATTGGGACGACGTGCCATCAGGTTCGTCTTCCATCTATCACTCTAGGGTTGGTTCTTCCCAGGCTAGTAGATTGACCTGAAGACTACAAACAAACCGTAAGTAAGTCGGTCGGGAGGGATCCCGAACGACTCTCCGACGATTAAGTTAGCGAGAGGCTAAGTTATTGATTGATTATACAAGAGAGTTAAGAGTGGTTTCTGTGTAATTGCCTTCTTGACGAGTCGGGCTGTCTATTTATAGTGATACAAGAAGAAGTAGCGAGTTCTTTCCATATCGACCCTGACATGCCATCTTATCGCATTTATGGCATTATGCTCGAAGGTACGACTATCGGTACTTTATATGCCGTTACACAGTTGTCATGTGGCTGTGCCCGGATCCACCAGCCACGTATCCTCGTACAGTCTGTATTCTCATAGTTTCGAGGTACTGCCGCTACTGTTTCGGCGTTACTTTGTACCTTCTCTTCGTTCTTTCCTTTCCTTTCAAGTTGTCATGCCAGTTCGGTATGTAAACGAGCAACTTCGAGATGGGTAACTTTCAGCGACCTTCCAACATGCTGGTTCGGTATGTTTGGAAAGGATATAGGTATTTTTGGGCTATATCCTATTAAGTCCTCCCAGTTTGTATCTCTACATAGTCGATTGAGTAGGGATGCAAACTTTGGAAGAAACGACATTATAGTCGTTACAATCAGATAGGGGCGAAAAACCCCTGAATTAACTCTGACATGACGTGTTGACGGTTATGCTAGCCCTAATGATGATCCATATAACCGTCTTTTCACCTGCCTTTTCTTTAATAGGAGTACAATATCTACCCACCACATTATCTGCTCGTTAATCTTCATACGTTCTAGATTTACTATAAATACTTGGTATTGAATCATCCGTTTCACCATTCGCTATTTCAATTAGAGTCGGTTTCCTTCTTCTGTCAACTTTTTCTCTCGTTTTCTTCTTTTTTTCTAAACATGTCAAGCACTAGGATTTCTCACATTGGGACGGTGAAATCCAAATTGACCGTTCGAACCATTGGTATGCTTGTTCGGAAGTATAATATTGACCCCAAGTTTCATCCTCGTCTTCCGGAGGCCAACGATGCCATTACTGACGCCCTTGAAGGCTTCGTGGGGGTTTACCGAGTATTCTTTAAATCCGGGCTGCGTCTTCCTGCTTTCGATTTTCTAGAAACTGTTCTGGATTATTATGGTCTGCACATCGCCCAAATAACCCTTAACGGTTTTCGTAAGATTCTTTGCTTCACCCTGCTATGCGTCACTCTGGATGTGTCAACGACCATTAATCTATTTTGCCACTTCTATATTCTGATGTCCAATGGAGATTGGGTTTCTTTCTCCCTTCTCCATGGTTTGGTGGAGATTTGTGACGGTCTTCCAACCTCCATCAAGTATTGGAAGGAGGAGTTCTTTTTTGTTCATGCCTCTGCTTTCTCCGGCCCCATTGCATACGGTGCTACTGCTGATAGGGTCGTCGACTCCGTCCCGAAACTATCACCCGACGAGCAATTGCTAACGGAAAGGTTATCGGACAATTTTGTTCGATGGACGGACCCCGACGAAGCGACACTGTGTATGGCTGGCATGAGTCCCCATTGGAACCGTCTGGGTAAGAAGACAGTGGAGGTGTTCGAGGAAAAAAACATAACCCTTCTTGACCGAATTCATCGGAAATGAATTGCGAACTCCACCCTAGTGACAGAGGAGGTGATGGCGCCGGATTCCCCAACTAGGTCAGAGTCTAGCATGGATTCTGCGCTAGATGTTTCTCAATCAAAGGGTTCTAGATCTATTCGTCCTAATCTTCGTTGGAAGGGTGTGAAATTAGATTTTGATTGTGGCAAACCTCCCACGGTATTTACAAGGGCTACCTTGATAGGTTTCATCTTAAAGAAGCGCTCGGAGAGTGTTGAAGACGATCAACTCATCAAGATGTCTCCTCCCAAACAAAAATGTTCTAGCCGTGAGTCAAGAAGCCGAAGTCTGAATGATCTATCTGACCCTCCGACTCCCGATGTTACAAGCTCTGAGCATACATCGGAGGATCGTGCTACTACTATCTTTCACGAATGTCCAATCGAACCGGACAACAAAATGAAGCATGTGGAGGATGAGGCAGAGCTGTCTTATTTGGGCAAATCAGAATCGGAGACCATTACTGGAGGCCTTCTGGAGAAGATCCCTTAGAACCCCCTTTTGGAGAAGGAAGACCCAAGGGTCTGTCTGTTGCGGTTGTGTTCCAACAAAAACTCTTCAGGTCCGGGCTTGGTCATTTCATGGAATCGACTACCGATTCTCCGTTCGTTATTCCTATTCCAATTCCCTCCGATACCATGATTGGGAATGAAGAGCCTATGGGGACCGAATCTGTAGACATGGAAGCTAGTATCCTAAATCCTCCCCCTGAATCAGGCTGTACGTTCCTTTTCTTTCTTTGTCGACGTTAGCTTTCTTCTTTCTATGATCTTTAGATCCGTGTTACGATTCACTTTCTTATTGACTGTGCAGCTATTGCTATTACAGGAAAAGAGGCCGCAATGCCAACACTGATTACTCTTGCTGCTTCACTTCCCCAGTTCCAACGTCCTTTTGTTGTGATAAGTGTTCCCAAGAGCCCTTTTCAAAACGGGGTTGTGTCTGATGAAGAAGCATTAGATAAGGCTCGATCATGCTTGATGGAAGGAATGCATTTGTTGAATGAAGTGTCCGTACACACAAAGGCATGTTCAGAGCAACTTGCTCAGCACCAAATCATTTTCGATGAAGCCTTGGAAGGGTTGAAGCAACTCCGGACCCTTCATGAGCAAATGGAGAAAGAAGCTAAAGGGTTGAGGGAAGAGGTAGTCGGTTTGTCGGAGAGAAACCAAAGTTTGGTGACGGATTTGAGTCAAGCCATTGGTCAGCAGGAGGATCTGAAGTCACAATATACGAAGAAGGTTTTTCAATTGGAAATTGCCTGCTCTAGAAAGGATGTTAGTATTAAGTTGCTAGAGGAGGAGTTACCCGCGATGAAACTCCTGATGTTGGAGAAGGATGCTCGAATTTCCATGTTGAGTGATTCACAACTTTTGATGGAGCAGTATACACAAGTTTCCAGACAGGAGTGGATCAAAAGGTTGAGGAGTTGCGATGGGTCATAAAGGAAGGTATCCCCATCTTTGTTCGGGCTTTGTTAGATTCAAGCGACTTTGGTGTCGTGAATGCCACCTTGCAGACATCCGCTATCCAGCTTGGCCTCCATCAAGCCTGTGTGGACACGAAAGAAAAGTACCCTGAAGAGCTGAAAGATAATAATATCTTGTATTCGTACCCAGATGCACAACGTCCAATTATGGAACACTTTGCTGAGATGACAACATACAAGTACTCTATGGTATCTACTCTGGGAAACGAAGAATTGGATGTAGGTGGTTTGAAGAAGTTGTTGAAGGTTATGGATTCATCCAGAGTAGATGAAGTTGCATCGAGCTAGGGATTGTAGGTTGTGTTTGTTTTCGTAGTGATTTGGACTTTGAACTTGTAAACGTAACTTTTATTTTGCCAATGCTGTGGGGTAGGTTTTATTTGTTTTGTTATCTTGTAATGATATTTCGCTAAATGACAATGTGATCTTCCTCTATCTGCTCGAATCCTTTTCCTTCTTGCCCTTGTGGTTGTAAGAGTTATTTGTGGTTTCGATTATTCTTCTATCGGCCATGGTTGGCATCTAATTTCGTATTGACTTAAAGTGTTTATCAGACTTTGAAATGCTTCACCCGCTAACTCGAATGTTATGTTTAGTATATGGTTCGAACCATTGGGTTTGAACTTGAGGTTCGAGTGATAAGAACATCGAGCCATAATTTGGAGGATTATGGCAATATTTGTTAGTTTTTCGAACCATTAGGTATGAACCTAATGTTCAAGTAATGAGAACATCGAGCCATAATGTGGAGGATTATGGAGATGTTTGCAAGTTGCTCGAACCATTAGGTATGAACCTAAGGTTCGAGTAATAAGAACATCGGGCCATAATGTGGTGGATTATGGAGATGCTTGTAAATTGCTCGAACCATTAGGTATGAACCTAAGGTTCGAGTAATAAGAACATCGAGCCATAATATGGAGGATTATGGCGATGTTTGTGGGTTGATCGAACCATTAGGTATTAGCCTAAGGTTCGAGTAATAAGAATATCGAGCCATTATGCAGAGTATTATGGCGATGTTTGTAAATTTCTCGAACCATTACGTATGAACCTAAGGTTCGAGTAATAAGAACATCGAGCCATAATATGGAGGATTATGGCGATGTTTGTAAGTTGTTCGAACCATTAGGTATGAACCTAAGGTTTGAGTAATAAGAATATCGAGCCATAATGTGGAGGATTATGGCAATGTTTGTAAATTGCTCGAACCATTAGGTATGTGTAACACCCGGTTTTGAAAGTGCTTCGTTGCACGGGGCTGTGGCCCAATCATCAGTTGTCATAAGGGTTAGGGCCTTGGGAAAGGAAGGATTTGGCCCATTTCGGATGCGGGTGTTAGGGTATATGTGATCCAAGTGTTTGATTGTGTCTTCGGAGGCCAAGGGTATAATTATAATTTGACATCTCGGTCTTCTAGGGATTTTGGGTTCTTGTTCGGAAAGTTTTTAGGTAATGATGAGTTGTTAGAAGCATAGGTGTAACATCCCAATTTTCAAGGCCAAAATTTTCATTTTTAAATTAAGTACTTCATAAAATAGTGTACCAAAACATTGTCGAGGTTACATCAAATTATAAAAACAATAACGTCATGTCTCAAAATCACAATATCAAAAGTAATGAAAATCAGAGTACAATCCCATAATATTCCATGCGGAAATCATGTGTGTGTGATGCGCTGCTACACTGCCGGCTCCTTCCCCTTGGACGAAGAGGTACCTGAAACCAAAAATGAAACTGTAAGCACAAAGCTTAGTGACTTCCCCCATCATATCACATACCATACAATCACATAGCATACATACTGCCGGGCATTTCTGGGGTGCCCAGCCTACCCATGTCAAGCCATTCTGGGGTGCTAACCTACCCATGTCAGGCTATTCTGGGGTGCCGATCTACCCTCCGGTCTATCTCAACCGATCACGAGGACTATTTCACCCCTACCGCTAGCATATATTATCGTATCATAATCATGCTGTCAGACATATCTGGGGTGTCCGACCTACCCATTGGTCCTAACGACCGAGGGGGGGACTGGTCCCCTCCTACTGGTACTATCTCACATAACATAGCATACTAGCATACACACATATCAAGCAATAGCAAACCAGACAATTATCATAAAGACAATCATCTCAACCAAACAACTGCTAGTGGGCCGACCTTGGTGCCTTAGACCCACTCCTACGGGAAGGTAACTCACCTCGATGTCGTGTAGTGTCTGAACTGTCCTCGGTGTGAAAATCGACTCCCTTAGACTCCTCAATCCTTACACGACAACCATTCTAAGTCATCACATAGAATATACAACCCTAACCAGGGTCAACTCAAGTTCAGTCAAAGTCAGCATTGGTCAAAGTCAACATCCAGTTGACCTGACTCGCCGAGTTGGCCTACCAACTCGTCGAGCCCATACTTTTCTAACCCGATACAATCCCCGTCTCCACTCGTCGAGTCTAGCAATAACTCGATGGGTTCTCCTTCAATCACCATCGGGACCATCTTCATCCGACTCGTCGAGTTCGACCTTGAACTCGTCGAGTTCACCTCCCTCCTACGAATACATTCAGTCTATGACTCGCCGAGTTGTATGAACAACTCGTCGAGTCCATCTTCAAAGATTGGGAGATTGCCTTGGACTCGTCGAGTTTGTTCATCCACTCGTCGAGTCCCATGATTCTCAGGTCCCTTTACGCGTCTAAACAACTAAGGGACTTTCCTCCCTAACAACTGGTTCATCCACAGAAAGGATTTGGTGACATTGCACCCCGACTCGCCGAGTCCCAAGAATGACTCGTCGAGTCCATCCTTGTCCATTACTTTACAGTCGATTTAAATGGGTCTTAACACATCAAAACCATAGATCTGGCCTCATACTGTCCATTTTACATGTAAAGTTCCAAACTTGGTGCACATGCATGGGGTCTTTGGCTCAAAAAGCCATAAAAGGTGATCTTCAAGATGCATGAGGCTCTCATGGCCATAAAGTTGGCACCTTTATGCCATGAGACCCCTCCTAAGGCCCAGATCTGAAGTCAAACTCCATTCATCCGTTCATAATCCGAAAATGGCTTAGAAAACTCCCAAAATCCCAACCCTAAAGATGAATAAGCACATAGAAGACCAAGACAAGAGATTTTTACCTTGATGAGCTGGAAATGGAACGAAATCCCTGGATCTCCAAGCCCCCACTCGAACTCTCAAGCTTCTTTCTCCTTCTCAAGCTTCACAATCCACCAAATGCACCAAAATGGCCTTAGAACACACAAAAACGGCTAGGGTTTCGATATACAGCTTTCTGGGAGTGATAAGGACGATGGAGGCTGAAATAAGGTGTTTAAATAGGATGCAAACCCTCAAATTTAGGGTTTCACTCAAACAACACCTACTCCCCAAGTCAGTCTCCCGACTCGTCGAGTAGGTCACTTAAACTCCCAGCGGATCACGACTCTACTCGACGAGTTGGGCCACCAACTCGTCGAGTCCCAGAGAAAATACATGAAATTCTTGAATAAAATACATACCAGGAATCAGGTGTTACAAATCTCCCCCACTTATTTTAGACTTCGTCCTCGAAGTCTGACACTAGGTCCTAAAAAAGCTCGGGGTAATGCTCCATCATCTCGTCCTCCAGCTCCCAGGTCCATTCCGATCCCTTGCGGTGCTGCCACTGCACCTTTACCAACTCCACTCTCTTGTTTCTCAGATCCTTCGACTTCCTGTAAAGGATCGCCACTGGTCGCTCAATGCAGTTCAGGCTGTCATCAACCTGAATATCCTCTAATGGCACCACTGCCGAATCGTCCACCAGACACTTCCGCAACTGGGAGACGTGAAAAGTGTTATGGATCTGACTGAGTTCGGCTGGAAGATCTAGCCTATATTCCACCTTGCCCACCTGGGCTATAACCCTGAAGGGTCCAATATACCTGGGGCCCAGCTTGCCCCGCTTCCTGAATCGAATGACACCCTTCCAAGGCGACACTTTCAGGAGCACCATATCCCCGACCTGGAACTCCAGGTCCGACCGACGCTTGTCGGCATAACTTTTCTGCCGACTCTGAGCAGTCTGAAGCCTGCTCCGAACTTGCTGGATCCTCTCAGTGGTCTTGAGTACCACTTCGGTACTCCCCATGAACCTCTGCCCAACCTCTCCCCAACATATCGGGGTCCTGCACTTCCTCCCATACAACATCTCAAATGGAGGACGGTCGATACTCACATGATAGCTATTATTATAGGAGAACTTAGCCAACGGAAGGTAAGTATCCCAACTACATCCGAAGTCTAAAACACACGCCCGCAGCATTTCCTCTAGCGTCTGGTTGGTCCGCTCGCTCTGAACATCCGTCTGTGAGTGAAAGGCGGTGGTAAAATGCAGACGAGTACCCAGCTCGTCATGAAACTTCTTCCAAAACCTGGAAGTGAACCGCACATCTCTGTCGGAAATCACTGAAACTGGCACCCCGTGCCGCGCCACTACCTCCCTGATATAGATGTCAGCCAACTTTCAGCCGTAATACTCTCCTGAATCGGAATAAAATGGGCGCTCTTGGTCAATCGATCAACGATGACCCAAATCGAATCCACTCCACTTCCACAGCGGGATATCCAATGGCTGGACCTTGCCGTGAGGTCTCTGGTGCTCAGCCTTGACCTTCCTGCAGGTCAGGCACCTCTCCACAAACCAAGCTATGCCCCTCTTCATACAGGGCCACCAATAATCAAGACGAAGATCTCTGTACATCTTCGTCGCCCTGTGGTGGATAAAGAACCTGGATCTGTGCGCCTCCTCCATCAATACCTGACGCACACCCCCATGATAAGGGACCCACACCCTACGGTGAAGAGTCAACAATCCTCGGCTATCATAGTCGAAGGATGAAACCTGACCCACAATTCGATCTCTCTTCCGATGTTCCTCCTTCATGGCCTCCTGTTGGGCCTCCCGAATCTGCTCCAACAACGGAGTCACAACTGTCATCTTCAGACAGATGTCCCTGATCGGCACGGCCTTACGGCTAAGCGCATCGGCCTTCCCCGGGTGGTAGAGGATCTCACAATCATAATCCTTCACCACATCAAGCCACCGACGCTGCCTCATATTCAGATTTGGCTGGTCCATGAGATACCTCAGGCTCTTGTGGTCCGTGTAAATGGTACAATGAACCCCATAGAGGTAATGATGCCAAATCTTGAGAGCGAAAACAACAACCCCCAGCTCCAAATCATGCGTCAGATAATTCGCCTCGTGAGGCTTCAGCTGCCTCGAAGCGTAAGCAATAACA